ACACCTCCAGCACCAGCTCCGTGCTGCTCCACAGCGCCGGGCTGCCCCGGTCCCGGGCCACCACCGTCACGCGGTGCTCGGACGCCTGCTCGCGGTCCAGCGCGCTCGCCGTCACCACCTTGTAGGAGCCGCCCGACGACGCCACGATCGACAGCGGCGCCTCTCCCGACAGCTCGCACGACACCTCACCGTTCTCGCCGGAGTCCGGGTCGTTCACGTTCAGCAGGGCAACCACGGTGCCGGCCGGAGCGTCCTCGGGCACCGGGCTCGACAGTGACAGAATGGTGATCTCGGGGGCATTGTCGTTCTCGTCCGTCACGTCTATCTGCACTTCGCAGTGGTCGGTGAGCCCGCCGCCGTCTGTCGCCTCCAGGCCAAAGCTGTACTCACTCTTCTCCTCGAAGTCGAGAGAAGCTGCTGTCCTGATCTCACCGCTCTCGCTGTCGACTGAGAATAAAGCGCTGACGGAGTCCGAGGCGTCGCCGAAGGAGTAAGAGACCCGCCCATTGGACCCCGCGTCCGCATCCGTGGCCCGCACCCGCAGCACCAGCGACCCCGCCGGCTGATTCTCCGCCACTCGCGCCTCGTAGATACTTTTGCTGAACACGGGCGGGTTGTCGTTGGCATCAGACACGTTGACACGAATCTGGACAGTCCCAGACCTCGCTGGGTCCCCACCATCCACTGCCGTCAGCACCAACTCAAAGGAGCCCTGCTTCTCCCGGTCCAACGCTCTCTCCAGCACTAATTCCGGCTGCTTCTTTCCGGCTTGCCTCTCCTTCATGGACAGACTGAAGGAGGGGTTGCTGCTGAGCTCATAAGTCAGCAGTGAGTTGCTGCCCACGTCCGCATCTCGCGCCATCTCAAGGGGAAAACGAGCACCGGGAACCGTCCATTCACCGATCTCGAGGTCCAAAACAGCCTTCCTGAAGGCCGGGGAGTTGTCGTTCACATCCTCAATGGCCACCTCGACGTGGAAAACGTTGAGCGGGTTGTGCACCAGCGCCTCGAAGCTGACCGAGCAGGACAACGACTCGCCGCACAGCTCCTCCCGGTCCAGCCTCTCGCTCACGTACAGGTTCCCGTTTGTCTCGCTCACCGTGAAGTATTTCAGCTGCTTTTTGCCGGCAGA